TGAACGTAAGTACTTACGCTCTATTTTCTTGTCTATGATTGGTTGATTTGGTTTGAAAGGCCGTCAATGATTGGCTGATGAACTTACGATCTCTAAACTTTTTTGAAAGTATGGGCCCTGATCATAACAGAATATACCATGTAATATTTCACCTGTGTGCCTGATGTTCCTCATAAGTGACTCGTATATACGGTATATTACTGACTTCTGGTGACAAATGTCCTCCCTCAGGGACAAGTTATATATTTTTTAATGATGTAATGATATATGAAAAATAGTATATATATGATGTTATTGCATCGCGAATGACACAAAAATAATGAAATAAAAATTATTTCTTCCTGGCTTTCGTATTCTCGTATTTATTTTTTTCAATAATTTATACTCGCTTTCCATTCCCAGTCTTCCATTAAAATCTCACACACAGTATTTTGCAGCCACCTGCTCACAACAGCAGTAATGAAGTACATTTATTCATTTCTCGTAAACCATTCATTTCTCGTAAACATCAGGATCAGGTACGACAAAAATGTTCGACGCGCAATAGATGTCGTTTTCAAAAGTGCCGCATCGACTTAATCGAAAAAGTGTCCTTTGCTGGGAAAACTGTGATGGTCGGTTGGCGTACGAGGTGACATGCAAACTATACATGCGTGTAAGCTATGTTAAAAAAACAAAAGCGTAGAGAGGAATATGAAGGAGATTTCTGATAAGTTTGTGATATTTAATAGCAATTGTAAGAAATGTAAATTTCTGAAAAACGTATCCTCCGAACGTCCGAAGTGTAAATATGCCAATCAAAACGCTTATTTTCCTGCACAATGATAATATTTCGTCTGACACAATCAAAAATGTTCGTTTTTGCTATCGCTTTTTAATCTATGAAAGTGTATCTGCCCATAGCTGTTATCGTCGCAATCGAGGATAAATTAAAGCTCAAATAACATCCAAACAAAGTTATTTACAACCCAAGACATCATAAAGTTAACATCATCTAGTTTTATTGGCCTCCACGCGCGCCATTTATGCTCCTCGCTGTTTAACATCGTCTAGTTTTAGACGATGTTTCTAGTTGATAAACCAATGATTATGCAATTAATTTCTGGTTAATAAACCAATGTTTCTAGTTAACATCGTCTAGTTTTAGTGGCCACCACGCGCGCCATTTATGTTCCTCGCCGTTGTTATTTTGGGCGTCTGGCAAACGGCCGACATGTGCGTGCATTGCTACAGACGTCGACATCTACAGACGCATCGTGTTGCGTCACGCGTCTCGACAACGTCATGCTGACGTCACTCACTTATACTTTCATATCATGAAGACATTTATAATTATTTAATATATTTCAGAAAATAATGCAAATATTTCAAAAGCTAGATGTGCTGGAGAAAAAACCATAGCCAGTTTTAAAATTAGCCGCAAAAATTTATTATCACAGAACCATTTCCTTGATGGACCAGTTTTATACTTCTTATTCTTCCTCAATCCTTTCTCTTTTTTGCTCTTCATGTTCATCTACTTCTAGATCGTTGCTTTTAGATTTTTAGCCTTTCATTTGGTAGTAATATCAAATATTTAACCCTAATAAAAAGCAATATTATTTATATTCTCGATCACAAACTAATTCTTCAAACTCTAATTGACACTTCAACACTTGTTTCATTTTCGTGCCAGTATCTGAGAATCGTTTTTATCTTTATTCTTTTATCGAGAATATTTCATCCATGAACGGTTATCATTATTTCAAGCCGCACGCGATCAATTGCCATTTAAACACACAAGATATGAAGCCAAATACTGTCTTTGGCTGCCGGCCATAATTAAGCTTTATATAACAATGAATCCATACCGAAATTCTCACAAATATCCCGTAAATAATGCACTGTAAATAGCAGTTCATTTGTAATCTGAGACTAGAACGCATGTGCTCTCTTGCTCGTTCATTTACTCGATTACGATAGAATTGAGTTACCTTGCTCGTGCTTGTAGAGCATGTAGAGATAACACTACATGGTTGTGACATGCTGCTAACGTTATAAGGCTGTGACATGTAGCTAACGTTACGAGATGGTGTTATTTAGTTAACTTTTTAAGGTTATGACATGCATCTAACGTTGAAATGTTGCGACATGTAGCTAACGTTACAAGGTTGTAACATGTAGCTAATGTTATAAGGTTGTAACATGTAGCTAACGTTATAAAGTTGTAATATGTAGCTAACGTTATAAGGTTGTAACATGTAGCTAACGTTATAAGGTTGTAACATGTAGCTAACGCTATAAGGTTGTAACATGCAGCTAACGTTAGGCTGTAACATGTAGCTAACGTTACAAGGTTGTAACATGTAGCTAACGTTACAAGGTTGTAACATGTAGCTAACGTTACAAGGTTGTAACATGTATCGCACTCATTATCCTCATCACACTAGTTCACTCGTTCTCGACAATGCAAGTCTATCTTATTTCGAGCAAGAAGTATAACTCAGTTTCAAAATCGTATATATTGTACGTGAAGGAACTTTTAACCATGTTAGCTCAGTCTACTTACACATTTATGCCTCACCTGCTCTTTTATTTAAAAAAGTTCATTTATTGAGGGCATTACGTAAAATTTTTGAGAAAAGTTAACAATACAAAATTTTATTCAAAGTAATAATATCATTAAATTATTATTTTATTTATCATATTGCGTTTTGTATCTTTTACAGTAAATTGGTGTGGCACAAAATATGCAGTCCCGTACTTTGGGCAGCCTGTAAACTATAGGTTAATATTGTTTGATTTTTGAACATAATTCGGATGGTTGCTTCGTAAGCATACACACACACTTAGAAAACATACTTTGATTTAACCATTATAATACTAAGTTATTGGAGTAAATAATAGTAAGATTTTGAGTAAAATCACCTCAATGATTATCAAATAAATTCATGATTACTTTATTCAAGAAGAAGAAGGTGAGTTAGAATTGAATTGCATTTTTTTAGTAATACATCAAGTCTTTGAAGTGTTTAGTCACCTTGACCAAAGTTAGTCACCTTGACTTTCTCATTTCTGACATTGTTAATTAACACTCTAATTATTTTTCATGCGTGGTAGGAACAAACTGCCTTATAGCTTTTTATTATTTGTTGACCATTAGGCATATTAATGTCATTATGCGCGTAGCAGAAAGCATTCGCCTTTGGTGCCTCTATAAGGTGTGTTTTTACGCCTAGATGCCAGCTCAGGACTGAAATAATTCATGTTAGTAAAATTAATTGAGAATTTGGAAATTTTATATGCTCACAAAGAGCTTTTGTTCCTCTCAGAACAATGACTGTGTCATATAGTCTAAATAGTGACACAGTTTCTACAGTTTCTTACACACAGCACGATTAGAGAGCGGCCGTAGCGTTTATGCGTCCTTTTGCTAGACCAAACTGTGTCAGGATGACCCACATAACTGAACAAAAATTTCGAACACAGTCTCACTTATTTCACTGAGTGAATCAATTATATCACAGTTATACCTATATGAATTTTTATACTTAAAAAACCTTTCCCTATAGATAAAATACCTATATTAATATAAGTGTATTGAGAAACAGAGAAATGAGTGATATTTATCTAAATATCAGGGTACTTTTTGAAATTTTTTGGGTCACCTTTACTCATTCTGGCAAGGAAACAATGTCGTACTATTACTACGAGTAAAATCTGCGACTATTTGGACAATGTGACCCATTTCTTTCTCTCCGTGATTTGTTGCCATGGCGCCTTGACGCGCGGGCGAAGAATAACATTTGTGGCTGACGGTGGAGGCTGCTTATGGTTGGCAGGCTTGGCAGGTGCTGCGTGTGTTTGGCAGGTGCTGCGTGTGTGGCAGGAGCTGCGTGTGTTTGGCAGGAGCTTGGCAGGTGCTGCTTGTGTTTGGCAGGTGCTTGGCAGGGGCTGTGTGTGTTTGGCAGGAGCTGAGTATTCGACATGTGTTGTATGTTTGGCAGTTGTGCGTGTTTGGCAGGACCTGAGTATTCGACATGTGTTGTATGTTCGGCAGTTGTGCGTGCTTGAAAGGCTTGCAGGTTGGGAAGGCAAGCGTGTTTGGCAGGTGCAGCGTTTGGCAAGAATTCATTCTTTCACAAGAAAAAGTATCTCATATCGCCACACTTGTTGCGGCATTTAAATACATCAAATGATACCCTAATGCCGCCGTACGAGCCTCTCGTTCGTTCATATAGTCATTGGTGACTGAATCGATCATGTTGTCAACGAAACACCTACAAACACTCACTACTGACGCGGCATGAAGCAAAGCATACCTTAGTAATCAATTCATATGATATTTTATGTGATAGTTTGTTTTATTTCTATAAGGTTTTAGGTGAATTTTTTCCTTTTTTTCATTCATTTATAGAACACATTACTTCATCTCAAGTTTCAAGGTTGTAGCACTTACATTTTCACAATAATAAAACCACTTATCGTATGATGGGATGCCTATCCGTATATAGGCCAGTTATCTACCGTCAATAATTTGGCCATGTTTCGTAACATGAATCCTGCTGCTTTTCAACATGTCTCCAGTCAAGTTTCTAGACTTTGCTTAAGCGTTGCCTCTCGCTATGGCTTGGTTGATGTTCCTCAACTTCACCCAACAACGTTTCTCAACATTTATTTTCCACATTTTTCAATTTTGTTCCTGCAAAGTTTCGCAACATGATCCAGCCACGTTTCTAACTATGTCTGTGTCTGACGAGATCAAAATTATTAACCATGCAGCCAATTAACCGTAAGTTAACTACATCTAACATGCGTAACAATATGATAAATATCAATTAGAGAACTTCAAAAGCCTTGAATAAAATGTTTATATTTGATGAATGTTCATTAACCAAGGTTTATCTTTCAGGAGTACCGATCAAGTAACAACATAATAAATACTAATTTGCGAATTTCAAAAGCAGTGAATAAAATAGTTATATCTAATGAATGTTCATTAACCATGGTTTATCTTCCAGGAGTACCGATGTTGTACATCTTCTTCATGTGGCGGTCAATGGTACCGTGGGACGAGATCAAGATACCCATCCTTCCATGGACCCATTTGCTGTCGTGCGTGAGCCCGTGGGTCGGGTCTACCATCTACCACATGTTTATGAACCATCGAGCTGGCGAGTCGTGCTACCGCTCACTACTTCACCTCGACATGTTCGGCATTTGGATCACCCAGAGCTTCGGTGAGTATTTCAAAGCTTCTTTATGTTACCCGTAGCTTCAGTAGGTCAGCCGAAGCTTCTTTAAGTCAGCAAGAGCTTTTTAGGTCACCCAGATCTAGGTTATGTCAGCGAAATTTTTTTTTTTGTCCCCCACAGCTTCGCTGAGGCCTCCAGTTCTGCGTTAGGTCACCTATAGAGCTTTGCAGGGTCACCCAAAACTTTGTAATATCACAGTGTTTTGGTAAGTCAACCAGTGCTTCAATAGGTCACCAGTAGCTCTTTTAGGTCTTCCATACTTCCATAGCTCCTTTACTTAACTCAGTGCTTTCCTTAGACACCCAAACTAAAGTATTGTTAGGTCACCCGTAGCTTTTTTAAGTCATCATGTATGCAGAACAAAGCTTTGCTATGTTTCCCCGAGCTTAAATGGACTACCTAGTAGTTCTGACTAACAAATTTGTCTCGATCACGCGCCATTAAAAGGGCGCATAAATTTATTAGAATATGATGCTAATGTCTTCGAAGATATTGATAAAAAGTTACTGACTCTTCATGCATTACCAGCATCGTACCTCATCTCACTCCCCTTCAAATCTCCCACCTTATCTTCCATCTCTTTTTAGATACAAATTTACAATATATGATGTGCACATTTACATAGGCATGGAGGCTGGAAGTTATATTCGTTTTACCGAATATTTTACCGGCGAACGTACAGACATTAATAAACAGTAAACCATGTCTTCCTGGCAATCAGTGATTCAGCCTTTTTCTGACAACAAACGTTTGTGCCTCTTTCTGACAATAAACGTTTGTGCCTATTTTTGGCAACAAACGTTTGTGCCTCTTTAGGGCAACAAACCTTTCTGCCTCTTTCTGGCAACAAATGTTTGTGCCTCTTTCTGGCAGTAAACGTTTGTGCCACTTTCTTGCAACAAACGTTTGGGCCTCTCTCTGACAACAAAATAGTCATGGTTTGATAAGGACTATTAATTAGGACTTTTAATGCCTTGCCTTTAAAGGCATAGTCATGGTTTGATAAGGATTATTAATTTAGGCCTTTAGTGTAATCAAATACAATTAAATAGTACCTTCAATGTATTGTCTATAATAACGATCTCAAGCTGTAACAAAGAATATTAAATTACAATCATTAATATTATGCCTGATATTTCACTCACTGATTACCTTGAGGGCGGATTACGTATTCTTTTCGTAATATTGAAAATAATTACAATATGTTGAGGAGGCGTTAAATCAATAAATTTTCGTGCCTGAATTAGACGGTAATTTCACTTCTATTCGCGGTGGAGATGAAGTCTTGATTACCGGTTAAATTTTTCACTAAAATATCGGAAAGGACTACTGTCTTGCTTCTCTGGGTAATCTAAATTGATTAAAATCATTATTATACAGGTTTTTTCTTCTAACAAAACCTGTAAGACTGTTGCCGCTGTCAGTGTTAGGAGTAATTTTCAGTATTTACTAAAATGTACAGTTTTATTTCATATTAATATTATTAATAAAGTAAAATTATTACGTTAAGAAAAGTTAAGATTAATTTGTATTATACGAAATTTGTATAGTGAATCGTACCTCTTAATAAATTTAATAATTAATCATTTATTAATAATTAATTTGGAAAAAATTAATAATTTTGATAATGATGCATAATTTTGATGCTTCATTGTTTTGATAAGATGAGAAAAATAAATACAACAAATAGAAATTGAAATGGAAAAATCGGAAATAACAAACTTTTAAAATTATTCTAAGAATTTCATCACAATGACCGAGATATTTGTTTACAGGTGTCATTAGTGAAATTCAATTTTAAGTTGTTTCCACAAACGAAAATTTGATGACAGGAATAAATTTTTTCAACCGTCATTCAATTTTCGCATTCATAAATTGTGTGTGGTGGAAGATTATAAATTATTTCTTCATTATTTTAATAAATTGAACTACCTCTGATTAGATTTGTCTGCCATTATTTCATAGATGCAACGGTAGAATAATTCATTAATGAATGTAATACGGGACAGTAAATGATTTTACATGTAAACCATGTAAAAATTTTACATTTGCATAATAATTAAATTGTATTTTTTCAAGTTGTCTACATATATTCTCACTTCCAGAATATTTTCGGAAGGGATAAATTACTGTGTTACTTGGAAAAGATGAATTAATTCATTTTAGTTCTGTTCTATCTTATCTGAAATTATAACATTGTTGATCTGGCGTCAATCAGTGAATTCGCACAAATAAATAATTATCAGCACGTATTAGTAATCATTCAGCTGTCAAGAACACATACCCATTCACAAACACGGTCATTTATGGACACTCTCAATTAAGCATTTAATACAATGTTGATACGACTCCGCAACAACAAATGCAACCTCCGACATTTTTATTTCACTTCTCATGTCTACTCAAATCATAGTTTGTTTGTTTATTTATTTTTTTTTTTTTGCAGATCCATCCTTTTTCCTTATCTTTTTCTTCCTCGTATTTTTTATACAGCCAGGAAAAATCCCTCAGTATAAAAGGACTCGAGCTTTCTATATTCCTAAACCTTTCAGAACATTTCTATCCTTGTCGCGAGCCCCTATCAGTCATTCGCCTGGTCTTAAATCTTCCATAATAAATCAAAGATATGTGTTTCATTTATAGAATGCATCGATGAGCTCGAAATACATCGATTACCTTGAAATCAATCGATTATCTCGAACTACTTTGATTATCTCGAAATACATCGATTATCTCGAAATACATCGATTATCTGTAAATGCATCGATTATCTCGAAATACATTGATTACCTCGAAATAAATCGATTATTTCGAACTACATCGATTATCTCGAAATCCATCGATTTTCACTAAATGCATTGATTATCTCGAAATACGTCGATTATCTCGAAATACATCGATAACCTCGAAATACTCGTAAAACCAAAAAAATATTTCTGTGTCCTTTCACCTATGTATGCATGCAAAGGATACGCCCGCACGAGAGGGCACTGTGGACGAAATGAGACTTTCCCGCCCTTTGTGATGAAATCATATTTTCTAACAAATTTAGTTTTTTCTTCATTTAAGCAAACGAAGCGAAGGCTATATCGCAAAAACCAGTAGTATATCTCGGGTTTCAACCGTTTTATACTCGATATTGAAATGCTTCCTTACCACAAACGATAGGCGTCTTGGGAATAAACATAGTTAAATTTTCAAAACAAAATAAGGGTCTTAGCAGCACAAAGAAATCTGTTTTTTAATGTTTTTTTGTCACTATTTCATTCATTGTAGATATAACTCTATTCTACAAGGTTCACACCATTTACTGGCACTAATGTTTATGTCTTAACTGCCTTAGACATCGTTGTTCGATGTGTTTCTAAGACTATAGGGAGATTTTCACTCAGAAAACCGTACGTGAATTCGATTTGGTTTCAAATATCTATAAACATATTAAAAGCACAGCGATCAAATTCATCAGTTTCAGATTGTCTCATTCATTCCGACGATCTCATAATGCTGACGCAAGATCATTACTAAATACCTAAAACTTTGTTTATAGACATTTATACATTTTTATGCACGTTCACATGAAACTATTCTTTCCGTACACTGTCGGCTAACTATATAACATCGTCGGTGAGTTATGAGTAACCAGCATCATTGAGAGCTTAGATACATCCACTTTCATTCTGATTTTTATCATTAGGTTTTGGAACAGCTTTTTGTATTCTAATAAATACTTTACTGAGAGACTGTTTTCATAATGTATAAGAATATCTCAATTTTCTCTGGCAATTTTTCTGCGTAAATTTCATGAACGCGTGAACACTGGAATCGCAAAAACTGAAATTTTGAAGCCAGTTTTGCCCTGATTTGAGCAACATGGCGTATTCCATCCTAACGCGCGAGCAGCTAAAATACTGAAAGTAAAGTAGGCCCCATAGAGATTTTGTTTTAGATGCATTGTAGCGGGCGAACTACGCTCCATACACAAAGTTACTGGGTCTCTGCAAACGGGCCTTAACATACGAGGATGAATCAAAATGGATCAGCAAATCTTCAGAGACCACACGGTATATTTAAATTTCATGGAGAATCCACAGCCACAACATAAGACTATTAGCTAAATGCGTAAAGGTTCACGAGTACAGACAATATATAGACATTAAATACAGACATTAATAGACATTACAAAGAGTGGTAGGTCGGGAAATAGTAGGCTACTAACTAGTAATCCGCTGCTTCCCGCGATAACTACCTACGCATACTTTCACTCCTCAGTCTCCGATAGAGAGGTGCGGCGGCTGAAGAAAACTAATAGCGCGGCCAAGTTAGCCCGCTACAGCATTACCGCCCAGTACCATATCAGTGGCCCAAAGCCAATATCGCATACCACCGTTATCTTTCTAACGTTGCTCGCAGTCGCATTACTTCGAATTGAGCCTAGTACGTCAAATGTCCTATGTCGTCTTACTTGCTTCCTGCCGTCGCTTTCTTAATCTACTGCTAGCGCCTGAAACGCCGCAGTTTCGTCATACCAGTTGTTACCTAAACCTAGCCTAATGCCGTCGGATGCCCTGTCTGTCCCAAGCGCCTTACGATGCGTCCTTATTTTGCCTCCCCAACAAAATTTAGATGCGAGCCCGACTCTACAATAGACAACATCCACGACACGGAAGCCAGTAAATCGGCCGCTAATATACCGCTTCGGCTCTGGGTTTGTAGTGCAGCCTCTGGACAACTTGCAAGCTCGGCATTACTCGACTCGGGTAACCTTCTCATTCTCTTAGGAGACTATACGTATACGTAAAGGAAATTCTGACTAGAAACTATCTCGATCAGGCGGCCGAGCAGACCCATAATAACTTGGCGCCTAGTGTAGTGACTATTCGGCTGAAGCCTAGGTGGTCCCCGAATTTTGTTAGTGCTAAACTTTGCCTACCGCCGTCGAAGGCTTTGTCTGCAACAAGCGCCCTAAAAGTCACCTTAGTTTCACCAAACAAGTCGTCCCTAAACCTTGCCTACAGCCTGCAATAGCGCCTGCCATAGCGCCCTAACTGCCATAGCGCCCTAAAACGTTACCTTAGTTTCACCAAACCTGTCGTCGCCTAAGCCTTGCCTACCGCCGCCGCAGGCTCTGTCTGCCGCAAGCTTCCTGAAACGTCACCTTAGTTTCGTCATACCAGTCGCCGCCTAAATCTTGCCTACTGCCGTCGCAGGCTCTGTCTGCCACAAGCTTCCTAAAACGTCACCTTAGTTTCGTCATACCAGTCGTCGCCTAAATCTTGCCTACCGCCGTCGCAGGCTCTGTCTGCCACAAGCGCCTTAAAACGTCACTTTAGTTTCGTCATACCAGTCGTCGCTTAAATCTTGCTTACCGCCGTTGCAGGCTCTGTCTGCCACAAGCGCCCTAAAACGTCACCTTAGTTTCGTCATACCAGTCGTCGCCTAAATCTTGCCTACCGCCGTCGCAGGCTCTGTCTGCCACAAGCTCCCAAAAACGTCACCTTAGTTTCGTCGTACCAGTTGTCGCCTAAATCTTGCCTACCGCCGTCGCAGGCTCTGTCTGCCACAAGCGCCCTAAAACGCCGCATGAGTTTCGCCTTACCTGCCGTCGCGCAACTCGCAGTGCTGAGCGTGAGGCTCTCGTGGCTGGGAGGTGGCGATACCTTAGCTTCGCAACACTATATCATGCAGGTAACTTGCCCAGCTACATTGCCTGTATCGTTTTGTGCAGGAAACTTGTTCAGCTGCTACCTTTTGCTTGATATTTTTCAGGTAGCTTGCCTAGCTGTCTGGTAATTTACCTATATTTGCTCTCCCTGCATCGACTAATGCAGGTAAACTTTTCAGCTTACCGCAACGTTTGCCTAGAATTCTATTTTTCATTATTTTCTCGTTAATTATTGTGCGTATTGATATTGTTTTCCTTGGATTAAAATTTTTGCACACATAGGACTTTGAGGTCGGGTTAAATGAAAGTTATTATTACTCATTTAGCCGTAATTTCTTTTCCCCTCTCCAAGTTTCCATTCATTTATGAAGGATTCTCTTATATGTCACTCAAAAAATTATGTGTCACAAGCTATGGGAGGGAAAACCAGTCGATCCATATTTCAATCACTTATTTCAATCGCACTTAGTCTAACGTGACACAACTTTACGTTCACAGTCGATGATTATTCCTAGTCCACCTGTGTACAGTTTACCCTGTTGTAGTTTGTTCCCGTGGTAAATTTCGAATTATTCGTTTGCTCTCTGTATAAATTTCGATTTGTTTGTTCTTTCTATTTTGTAAGTTCTTTGTGGTTTGCCTGCACACTTGGCGAGTTATCAGTTCTCTCAGTCCTCAATTCTCACTTCTACTACCTATTTTGTCCGCATGGCATGGGCTGTTTAGCTCAACGAACGTGACTCCACGTTTTTTCCAAAATTCTGCTCTGAGGCTTCTCTTTTTTCTTAAAACAAACTCTAGGATAATTGATAAAGTAAACCCTGTACATTAAAGTGGTTGCAGCATATGTAGTGTAGAAATTATCATTGTATATTTAAACCATTACCTCAAGTAGTTCTTCATTTGCATGCCAAGAACTTTATTTATAGGCGTATCATTTGTGACCACTGATGGTGACTCTCTTTTATACGCGCATAATATTTATTTGTAAAGGACAAATGACGCCACAAAGCCAATGATTTATGCTCGATTGTCAGTTCTTTGGAAGGATAACTTTTCTCTGATCGCCAAATCAGCTAACAAAATTGTTTGACATTGTATATTTACACATAAAAATAAAAGGTCTTTGCATGCATTATAAAAGCTTAAAAAGTTTCACCTCCGCTAATTTTTTTTTCAATTTTTGCATTGATCAAGAGCTTTGTGTGATACGAAAAACCTCATACATTGAAACAACGACATTATGACAAATACTTCACGTCCATGCAATATTCATAACAAGAATATATACATAAATTGTTCGTTAGGACTCAAATTTCACGCTTGATTTATCACTCTGGTGGAAACGAAAAAGGGCGACAAATCAGTTGACAAGTGTTCCGTGATATGTGACATTGAATCGGTGTGGTATAAAAAGTTATACCAGTAAATTTGTGCAATGTATATTGTATGTGGTTTTAAGTACCATTGTGAGGAAAAATCGTGCAAATGCATCAAAATTAATGGAGATTATATTATAATTTAATGTTACGAAATATCTTTTATCTCTAACATTCAATAATTTTTTCCGGTATTATTCGTGCGGTCGATGTTAATTGAAGTGATCGCTGCTTTGCATGCTTTCAATCTCCGCCTAATGCGCATTCTTGCCGACTAGCAGATGTATTTTTGACGCCAGGCGTAGAATCAATGCTGGTACTTATCTTCGCCGTTAATATTACGATGAAATTGATTACCATGTTCTGATCCTAAGTCAAAAATGAAGCTTAGTAGGTCGTTTTGACAGTTTTGACACTGACTAGTTTGTCATCAGTGCGAAACTAGCTTCTGAAGGGTCTCTTTAAAACGATTTGTTTCTTTTGTTTGATAAGCAACTAGAACATGTCACTGCGTCTTGACTTTCACCGATAGGTATAACTTAATGATAAGGAGGATTCAAGGATAAGGATAAGCGGATTCCAGAGAACAATAATTATTGCTTTTTTCCAGCCGTGGAGAACAGAAATGATTTTAAATTCAGATTACGGGGCTTGACAATAACTTTCGAATTGTAACATTGAAAATATGGCATGATGATATTATTTGCGAACACGAAACTTTACGGAAAAAAATTCTTTGTTCAAGCTAAATAATAAAAAAATAATCACGTTTTTATTTGTTAGTAACTTACCATAAACAATAGACAGAATTAGTTGAAAAAATTTTCCTTCCTTATGCCTTTTCTTCTCCTTTGTCCTGGCTTTATTATCCTTTCAAACATAAACCTTTTTTTTATATGTTTTTTCCAGCTATTTTATACATTCATTTTATTACGCTTACAAAAGTTTAAACGACTATTTACATACTTCCTACTATTACCCTTATTGACTCAAATTATATCGTACGGCGACTAAATTTCAGTAGAATAATATTCGATGATATTTTTCATCCTAAATGAAATAAGAACATGAGATCATCATTCCTCTGGCAATCTCCACTATATATATTTACATCACACATCTCAAACTTATTTTCCCAGCTTCGTACTCATCATACCACATTGCATCACATGCCGACATATATATTCTTACTGACCGACATTACGCTTCGTTAAAACATTTGCCCATTGCACACTATCAAAATGATTTGCAGATGATTCTAATCAAAGATCCATCTTACATTATATTATGATGGTTACACATCTTCATACGCTTACTACGCGGGGTGATTCGTGTAAATTTTTTCACATTATCAGAGTCCTAAATTGATGGCTTTAATGCGCCCAACTTGTCCGCTTTTGAATTAAAATTATTTTTATTAGAAATTGTTAGCAAAAATGACTTTGCTGTAGATATTTGCCTTGTTTAGTTGTTCAGGGAATGTCTTTAATTGCGTTACTTGATTGGCTCGAATTGCGTTAATGGCCAGGCAAACGACGTTGAATCAAAGTTGTCATAAACGTTCTTTGGTTGAGTCAACGTTGATTAAACGTTGTTTGCATCAACGTAGTTTAAATGGTGTAAAGGCCACACTTGGCATTAATTGACTAAAATGGCATTAAGACCTCGATTGGCATTAATTGGCTCGAATGCTTTTAAGGCCTCGATTGGCCTCAATTGGCTCAAATGGCGTTAAGGCCTCCATTGGTATTAATTGGATATTCAGGCCTCGATTGGCATTAATTGGCTCGAATGCTTTTAAGGCCTCGATTGGCCTCAATTGGCTCAAATGGCGTCAAGGCCTCGGTTGGCATTAATTAGCTCAAATGATTTAAGGCTTCACACGCCCGCAATCCCTGGGAGCGACGCTTCTGTTTCACATTCCCCTTCCTGATGCGTGCCGCGTCCGCGTGCGTGCGTCTGTCTTCGTCGGGGGGCGGCAACCCCGAGGGTTTGAGGCACATCTTCCTGCAGGTGCGTTCTCTGTTCACCTTGAAACTGACCACCATGTTATCAGACATTGACGTTGAAATAATGTTGATTAGACCATGTTTAACGCTTCGCGTACTGACTTTGACGACGGTGAATGTATCTGTTGGCAAAGGGTTATAAGTAATCAGCGCGTAATCACTATTGTTCCAATGTTATTTGCCTGAAGGGACAGCACCGACTTAATTTGCAACTCAAGCCTGACTTGTGTAAAGCTGTAACTTCATACAAAATACCGCCAATAAATTTAAAATTTATACGTTTACTGTATCCTGTAACGTAAGACTCGGAAACTAGAACAAATTCAGCACGCGTAATTGGGACAAAAAATTGCTTATCGATGCATATACCCTCTATCCATTGCTAACCATTTCAATACATGACTGTATTGAACATATCCGTTTACATGACTACTACAATCTAATATAAACGCGTATTTATTAATTTCACTGGGAAAAATAACGATGAGTTAAGTCTCTGACTACAGACTGCAGTTAAGAAATGACAGAAACCAGAACCTTCAGAATGACATGTGAGACCCTTCGGCACCGCACCTTCAACAGGTAATTTTTTATACAGGTAATTTTTTTCCATTTTGCTTCTATGAATCTGTTATATATTTGTTATGAGTAATGACGGTTCTTCCACCTCGTAAGTTTCGACTGCAAATGCAAAATATCAGGTATGTCTGCAATTTATTTTCGATAGTGCATTCAGATATTTTTGCTAAATTTCAAGTCTATGAAATCTTCTGTCCATATAAGATATTATGTTTCAAAAGAAATTTCTAAAAAGGTAGTTCATGAATATAATTTTTATGAGCTATTTTCTTAAATTTATAAAGTATATACTTTTCACTGTCATTTGCTATGTTTGATTTTTTAACAAGACTGTTGGTTATATGTTTCATTTCTTAACAAGATTATTGATTGTTTAAAACTGTTCCGCATATGTAGATACGATCAGGCTTCATTTAATTAGAATACAAACATGTGGTTTAACGCAACATTGCTAATACAGTCATATTTTCCCCCCTTTTAAGATACCAACATTTGTGTTTAAATTATTACTCGTGCTTGCGATCATGTTTCATATTTCTAGGCTACTAAAAATGTTGTTTAACACCTTATTGTCACTGAAGTCATATATCATTCTCTTATGGTACCAAAAATGCTGTTCAATTCATTACTTATTACTTCATTATTCACGTTCACCAAAAATGTTGTTCAATTCATTACTCATATTCACATTCATGTTGCATTTCTTTACGGCATTCACACCCTTGTTTATTTTATTAACTTCACGTTTAATTATGATCACATTTAATTATTTAAGCAGCCGGTGGATATGCTTCATATCCTAGCGATGCTACTACACTAGGAAAAACTAATGAGACTTTGTCCAAGTAGCGATGCACTTTTGTGGGTCATAATGACTCAGTTTGATCTAGATAGCAAAAGGATACATCAGTGATACGTGCAGAAAGTGTTAGTGTTTCACTATTCGGACAAAACGAGCTATACATTTTTTTGAGTCTTCTATAAATTTTATTGAATCTGCTATCAATTTTTTGAGTCTTATACAAATTTTTTGAGTCATCTATCAATTTTTTGAGTCTTTATAAATTTTTTTGAGTTGTCTATCATTTTTTTGAGTCTTCTATAATTTTTTTCAATCTTCTATAACTTTTGTTAGTCTTCCATAATTTTTTTGAGTCATCTATAAATTTGTTTAATCTCCTATAATTTTTAAGTCTACAATCCATATTTGTATTGCCAGGACTTCCTAGCAGTGCTAGGAGGATTCGTAGGAGCCCTCCGCATTCCTGAGAAATGGATCCCTGGAAGATTGGACATGCTCGCTAACTCGCACCACATCATGCATGTGGTGGTGGTGTGGGCGGTCTACCACCTACACCAGGGCGCAATACTAGACCTGGTCTGGCTATCCAAGAACCCGCAGTGCCCAGGTCTAATGGAACCATCCAGTTTACTATAATGCACATAAATCTCCCTCTAGACATCAAGAGACTCGTAGACTTCAAAACTTCAAATCTCCCCAAATCTAGACTCCAAGAATTTAAAAACAAAAAAAATAAATGCAAAATAAGTTCACCACGTTTTCCTTGAAGGTATGGTGAGCTTTAAAGTTCAAGTTCACCAAGATATGGTGAACAGGAAGATATGGGGATTTGAAATTCTTGGTGAATTTGCGATTTATTTAGACTAATTCATGCATGGTATAAGTACTGCTATAGAGACTCCCTCTTATCCTTGGGCTGCGTGGGAAATAGAGAGAACATACGTCACTTTCTGCGTGGTGGTTTTTTAAATAAGTTTGTTATGTATATTAACGGTGATATAAATTGTGTGCCTGTCTCTGTATTCCACGAGCCTTCTGTTGTATTAATTTCATTCACAAGAAAGTTTGTCTTCCTGTTACTCTTATTGCGGGTAATTTTTTCACTCATATTGCGGGTAATTTTTTCACTCATATTGCAATTTTCACTCATATTGCGGGTAATATTTTCACTCTTGTTGTTTTATTCGCTCTTATTGCGGATAATTTTTTCACTCATATTGCTTTTTTCACTGATATTGCGGGTAATATTTTCACTCTTATTGTTTTATTCGCTCTTATTGCGGGTAATTTTTTCCCTCCTATTGCTTTCTTCCACACTTATTGCGGATAATTATTGTAGCTAAGTAATTTGCGGTCATAAATCAATCACAGCATACAAGGGGGGCTTAAATAAGTTCGCGGAAAATAGACATCACCGAGAATTCTAGAAGAATAATATGCAAATGCATCAGAACGATCCTGTATCAATGCTTTATAACGTGTTCTCACATTAATACTGATAATAATAATAATAAAACTTCAACTTGTTCTCACATTAATACTTAAATTAATGTTACAAACGCGGTGAGCTGTTTTAAAAGCAACAACCGTTCATGCAACTTGACATGTGCCAAAATCGAGGCCAGGTCAACGTCCAATTCATGGTGGCTAAAGAACAGCTAAATCTTTGACTCTCTGGAATAAATTTATGCTGGCATGCCTCAAATAAATCAGTAACCTACTAATAGATTAGTTGTTCCAGAAACAGAAGAAATGAGACCAACGATGAACCCTACAGAGAAAGGCACCGCACATCAGTGCGAGGCCTGAATGAAAAAGATGGGCGAATAACCACCGAATCAGTAGCAGACAGCCTCAACATCTCCATGGGTTCCGCACACACAATTATGTAGGACAGTTTGGGACTGAGCTCTGCGCTCGATGGATTCCTTGGCTGTTGCACCCAGATCAGCAGGAATCAGCAGATCTTTATACGGAAATTTTGAACAAATGGGAATGTGGGATGAGAACCTTGAAATTTTTCTTGCGCGGATTGTGACTGCAGATAAAACATGGCGCTACCATTACAATCCCGAGGACAAACTCTATCGAAACAGTGGCTGTTCAGGGGAGGAAGCGGGTCCGTCATAGCAAAATCTGAGCGTTCGGGAGGGAAGGTTATGGTCATGGTCGTCTGGGATACAGAGGGGATCTTGTTAATTGATATGCTAAAGAAGAAGACAAATATTACCGCTGTTTTATATAAAGATATTTTGAGGAAATTTTTCTTGAAAATCGCTGAAAAAAGCGTCGGAAAGCAGGATCGGCGCATCCTCTTTCACGACTTCAATGCAGCCGCGCATTACGCATGACAAACTGAAGCTGCGCTGCGCGAATTTCGATAAGAAATCAATTGGCGTCCACCTCATAGAACTGACTTAGCCCCGTCCGACTTCTTTTTATTTAAAAACATGAAAAAAATCGCAAAAATGTACCCAGTTTCCATCACTTGAAGCAGCAAAAAAGCTGCCAAAACATGGCTCATATCGCATGACTCTCAATTTTGCAAAGATGGACTTTATGGCCGGTATCAGCGTTCACAAGAATGCATAGACCGAGATAGAGCATATGTATAAAAATAAACGTTACGACTTTGACAGTATTTTTAAATTGTTGTTTTTCCACGAACTTTTTGAAGCCCTCTCGTATAACTGTGTTTATTATCGTTAGTGTTGCTATTGCTATAGCTCACTCCCTATTCATCCTAATTTGTAAATTTTTAAGTACATGGAATCAGTGATTATCGTTGAAAGTTTCACTCCTTCTTTTCGTTCTTGTCTTCAACTCATTAGGATCGTTCGTTTATATTATTTTTGTATTGCTTTAGCTGAACTCTCAATTGTGTAAATTCATTTCCATTGTGGGTAAAAATCTTCTGGTTGTACAGTTTATTCTAAGAGAAAATTGAATTGTGGATACAGGCGTTAAGATTTGGTTCAAAGCTTCTTAAATTATCTAGAAAATGACATAAATCGGTTTTCATATTTAGTTTTTGCTAAAGTTTAAAAATAACCGTACTTATTGGTAAAATATTCGTAGAAGAAGTAAAGCATTAGACATATAAATAAAACACTGTATGCTACGGAACCGAAATGTTATTTTTTAATGTAAGTTACAGGGTTTCATCATTTTCAATGTGTTACATCCATATTTGATTATAAGCACAAGAGTCTGTAAATTACTTATTGAGAGGAAGTTTGAAGCGAAACTTGGATTTGAAGTTCCTGATGATATCGATGTCATAATACTCTTAATTCCAACTACTTATTAATACTCAGTGATACTCTTCTCTGTGTAATTGACGACTAGCCACTATTCTGATCTAGTCACTAGAAAGGTAGACTTCTAGTAGATCTCTTCACTAGTAGGATAGACTTCTCTAGAATTAACATGAACAATTTCTATTCGAGATTAGAACGTTATCGCTTCTCAGCTTGTGCCTCGCGCAGTGACCGTACTGACTACATCGTGTCTTTTATTTCCTGAAACATTTTCCAGACCATCCAGACCAATTTTTGCTATCCAAGATTATTTTATTTCTGAAAACAACACAAAATAGGCAAAGGCAATGTTTTTTTAGTAGGCAAAGTTTTTTTAGTCGGCATTGTAAAAGAAATAATGTCTACTTAATTAATAAATCCTGATAAAAATATTCAATTTTTTCAATTTAGTTTAATCAGCATCTTAGTACATGCATCGAAGGGATCATTACATAAAAATTAAAATAAGAACATAGTAATTTACTTAAGACTATTACTTTGCTTATTGAAAATACAAAGAAAAAAGATTTGTATATTTTGGCCTCGTATTTTCGTGACAGAAATCACTCTGAATTAAAGGATCTCATTAAAAATATCATTCATTAATTTTTCAATCCATATTAATTTATAAAAGCTACATTTATTTATCCATCTCATAATCCAAACACAGCCAGGAAATTCTAAGCTTTTGTTGGTTAAAAATATACATTTTTTCAAAGCCACTATGGTGAAGTGAAGGCATTCTGTCGGTTCGAGATCAGTTTTGTAATATAAAACGTTATGTTGTGTTAATTTTTGCTATGTGAACACGAAGGTAAAACGGCACTTTTTTAGCTTTCTGGTCTCAGCGATATGCCTAAATGTAAGGCTAATAATAACATTCAGATATCAGTTCATACAGCATTTGTGTGTGGTTCATACAGCATTTGTGTGTGGTTCATACAGCATTGGTGCATGGTTCATACAGCACAGATTCATTTACTTTGCCAAGACAAGGCTATTGGTGATTGAACTTTTCAGAAACTTTGGCCAAAATCAAGATTCTAAGAATCAATCTAAAATAAATCCCGGTTAATTACAATGTCTGAAAAATTTTATTGTTCACCTTGGTTTCTTCAATAACGTCCAATGCATTGTGGTCGACGTCACAATTGCTGTTACAATAGACACAAGTCACAAACCAGCCTGTCCTCCTGACTCCTGTCACAAACCAGCCTATCCTCCCGACTTCTGTCACAAACCAGCCTGCCCTCCCGACTTCTGTCACAAACCAGCCTGTCCTCCCGACTTCTGTCACAAACCAGCCTGTCCTCCCGACTTCTGTCACAAACCAGCCTGTCTTCCCTGACCAGAACGAACATGAGTCATAACATTTTTCGAGAAGTTCAAAGCCTGTGCATGTTTGTATTTTTTATTTGTTTCGCAGAAATAATGTTTTGCTATGCATTAATTTTTTGGGTATGTATTATTTTTCACGCGGTTACCACTTTGTCAGTGTAAATATGGTGAATTTATGACTCATTCAGAAGTAAATAGGCGTTCAAGAAGCCATTTCCATTCATCGTTATGTTGGGTAATAATATAATTCTTATTATTACATTAGTATGCTCGGTCAGCCATATATTATAATCCTCGTTTTTCGCTCACGACATTTGTAAACGTTACTTTAATAACGTATTTGCGCTAATAGAGTCGCCGTACAACTTTCTATATCATGTCATTATCTTCTAATGCATAGTTTGTTACATTGCTTGTAGCGAGTGTTACTTAGCAAATCTGTTGAATTAGTAAGTCTACAGCCAACTATTTAGTAGTTGCCTAGCTACATCTCAACAGACATTTGACGTTAGTTAAAGTAACGTTGATTTAACGATATTTCTACGAAATAGAATCGTTATCAGCGTTGTTTCAACACGTCATTTGCCGAAAGGGATATATATATGACAACTGGGAGTGGCTAAAACCTGCACGAAACTATCATCCGAGTAATGTACAAGCCTACGTTGTGATTATACCGTCAACTTATAATCTAATTTATTGGAACATTCCATACGAATAACAGACAAATGATTATAAGAACATGTTGATTCTTCTATATGTTAAAAAATTCACTTATTAACCAAACTAGCGAGCTCTTTTTAGCGAAGTCTGCTGAAAAGGCCTAGTAAAAGCAATCCTAATGCACCACATATGCCTATTTAAACAGGTATTAACGTTATTCGTTCAGCATATCTATAGAATGCTTATTTAAAAGATAAATGCTCTCAAGTCCCACACGTTGACGCACTACTTATGAGCTGTCCGTATTACATAGAATATTGTTGTTGTCAATGCAGTAAAAGTTTAAATAGTCAAGTTATACTCGTAGTGTTCACCAAGAATTTCCTTAGTAAAGAACCCAGCTGAAATGTAGATCTTTTAGATAAGCTTTGCTTCACAACATTCAAGTTAACCCCAACGTTATTTGGATGTCGTTATAGTTTTACATTTCTGAACGCTCATTACATTCATGCATCTAGTTGCAGAAATTTCTGTATATATAGGAATGTTAAATGCGATTACAATGCTTTTTAATAAACTTCAATTTATTTTCTCTTCAGGTATGAATAAAAGTGTATACAATTTGAAAGTTATTTCTTCAATCGTGTACTCAGACAAATTAATGTGTCATAACGACCAAATTGTGACCCGTTATGAGTCACAGCACGAGAACATAGCCCTGGGATACCCTAGTTCTTAGGTGAGTGTGACCAACACATCAGCAGGAAAGTCTGTCGATAGTTGGAATTTGACCCAATCTTTTCTCTGAGTGTAAGATTTGAGGATATTGTATGAGCGTGTCTCCTAAGAGCAACAATGGGTGTCTTATAGGGACCTTGTGACCTTATGACCTTATGATGAGTTTAGGACGTCGTAGTCCACGGTCACGCTGATGCGCCGCCTTCGTCGTCCTCCGTCTCCGAGTCGTCGTCGGATGTAAAGTTGGACGTGTTCCGTCTATTTGCCCTCATTTGGGCACGCTGATGCAAGATGCTGTTGCTTGTCACTTGCTGGGGGTGGTTTCCCATTACTGGACAATCCGGGATCTTTCTCAACCACTTGTCCAGTTGTCTCTTGAATGTTGCAAGGGTGAACTCCCTTCCTCTCAGCGCTTTTGGCAAGGCATTAAAGAGCCTCGGTCCTACCACGGACAGTGATCCCTCACGAAGAGTCTGTACTCTGGCCGCGGCTCGGTTATTAAATGGGGGAATCCTGCACAGTCTCCCCCTTCTTTCGTTGTAATATGTCCTTATTTTGGAGGTCTCACTCTCAAAGTTGGGAGCCAGTCCGTTTATCATCTTCCAAGTCTACAGTATGATATACCTTTCTCTTCTTCTCTCCAGTGAGTACAGTTCCAGGTGTTTCAGCCTTCCCCAGTAGTTCAGGTTCCCCAGGGGTAACAATGTCATTGTTACTTTATAAATTTATATTGAGAGATGAGTGAGCAGTATTAATGAAAAATGTGAGATTGTTTCATTGCATGAAAATGGGGAACTGGAAAACTCTCGATGAATTAGCTTTTTCTTGCCTTTTTTTATTTAACTACGCGGTAATTTACATAGACATTTGTTAAGAGATTTTTATAATGAACATCTCGTCTTAATATTAAAATCTGCAGATGTATGCATCACGAATTCCTGTTAATATCAATTAAATCGGAGTTGAAGAAAAAATATCGCAATAAAATGCAATATTGAGCGTCTTTCGGTAATAATAAGCCCATTTTTCTGGATTGTAATAACAATACATAATAATAAGCCCATTATTATGTATTGTAATAACAGTGCATAATAATAACCATTTCTCCATCACTATAACCATTGATTGCTGAACAACTTAACCATCATCACGATCACATTTATTAACCCAGTAATGGTTGACGTCTCAACTTGCATCATTAAATGAACATCGTCGTGTTTACTGCTATAATCTATAATTATTTACCAGGAAAAAAATTTACTGATCCGATTGATTTTTTACTTACATTTGGACGTTGACTTTCCAGGAATTTAAAAGCAAAGAAAATAGCCAAAAATTTCACCATTTCTTATAAGAGAAAACGTTTCGGAGTCCAGCTCCATCGTCAGTTCAAAACCTAGAACACAGGTACAAGCTACGTTTTCTATAAAGATATGAATTTTTGTGGACTTTTCTTTGCTTTTAAATTCTTAGGTACAAGCAATTAGTAACCTAAAATTCACACCTAAATGTGAATTTTAGGCTACTAATTGCTTGTACCTGTGTTCTAGGTTTTGAACTGACGATGGAGCTGGACTCCGAAACGTTTTCTCTTATAAGAAATGGTGAAATTTTTGGCTATTTTCTTTGCTTTTAAATTCCTGGTAAATTTGCGACTTAAGCAGCCAAGTGATTTTAATACTTATATCCGATCTAAAGACGTTGACTTTTTCATAGTCAAGAATGTGATAGCATTTTTGAAGGATAAAAGTTCTTACCATGAAATAACTTCTCCCGTGAGTGAATGCACGAAGTTTAGAACACCTATTTTCATTTTAAATTCGTATTGATTATCGAATTTCTAATTGATACGGTGGCGAAATTCAGAAAAGTATTACCAGTTGTGATGCCGGCACCAATTGCCAGCCGTCGGTGCTTCTGCGATGATTTTCAATAGGGGATCTCGGGCCTTAGGCTGCATAATTGTACGGCAGCGGAAATTGTTTTAAGAAATATTTTATTCAATACTTTTTTTGATGTGTCCTAAGTAGTAAGCAAGCCATAAGCGTGCGATCAATTAATAATTCAACTTCTAAGCTGTTGGCTGGCCAAAGCTCGACTAAGTCACGACATTAAATCATGATCTGTACTTTTGTTAGGCTATTATTGATGATATTATTGATAGTCTTACAAACATTTTTTATCTTCCCATGGTTTATCTATTGGTGAAAAACTAGAAATTTTTATGATAATTCGTACAGAGTGTTCATTGCACGACGTATATCAGAGGTGAAGAGGGGCTTTTTAATTATGCATCGAATATTCAGAAGTATTATTTGTCTATAAATCAATAGACTTTACCGTAGCCAAGGTTAAATAAGTAAAATTACAGGTAGTGTGGAACTAAATATCCGGAGACAATTATGGAACGTCCAGAAATAGTCCTAAATTATAGCAAAATAACTACAATAAATTCTGTTTGATTAAATATCCCTGATTGAGATGTCTTTTTTTATTGCTCTATAACTCCCGAAAAGTTTACAGTGAATTAAAATGATTTCTGCGGTCCTGATTGGCATTAAGAAAATTAGCAAGGATTGTTTTAGTTTATCCTTCAAGCAGGACTCACGAGTATAAATATCGTTATCAGTACCCCAGGTCTATTATCAGTATTGTAGATCAACTGACTGTAGGATAATTCTTGTTATAATTGAAGAAGAAACCCGTAAATTCGCTGCGTATAGTATAAGCGCAAAGGGTGGTGGCTATGAAAGTAGTCAAGGAAATTGACCTTCAACTCTTTTATTTAGAGACATTTATATATTCCAGTGACTTTAAGCACTAAGTAGTACAATGCTGGTTAATTTCCATGATCGATTACTCATCAGGATGTTTTGTCAGCGTTATAGCATGGAAAGTCCTTCTATTTATACATGTATAGCCTGAACTCCATGCACTGTATAAGAGCGGCATTCTGAATCAACCTCGTTAATGTCACTCATTAAAAGATGCCTACAACTTCTGTTTGCATATTATTATCCTTTCAAGCTTATTGCGATTCTTGAATTTCACCAAAGTTCCTAAGTTCCATGTCATATGCCTTTAAAAATAATTTCAACAGTTGTAGGGCAAATTTATTTACAATTTGTCCGTGATTTTATATGTATATAATTGTATATCCATGGTCTCTTCCTTAACAAATTTAAGCCTCTACATTGAAATAAAATTGAGTATTAAGCACTTTTCAGATATGTTGATTCAAACATCAACTACGCTCTACTCATTTTTAAATATATGGGTGGCAGGGCGCTAGAAGGAACTTCTTAGTCATGGTTGTTCTTTTGTGTTACAATTGGAATAGTTGAATAGGTTCTTTCTAGTCAAGGAACTATATTGAATAAATGTACTTCACTAGTTTGCTTGTTACTTCGTTTGACCCATCAGCCAACACGTCCGGTCGTAGGGGCGAGGGAGAACAGAAGCTCAACATCGGCTGCATCAACTGTAACATTAAAAACATTCTTTAACATAGCATCTACTATCTTCAGTAAAAGGACGCAAATGAAGTTGGAATAGCTTCAATAGTTTCGATAACTGATTTCAATGAGGTAGATACATAAAATTCCACTGTTTATTATCAGAAAAATTCAAGATCAATTTTTGGCTTCCGTCTTGCAATTTTTTACCCTTACATGAAATTTTCTGGAGGATTAATTGGAGTGACCTTACCATTGGTAGACACTGAATGCCGTGGCTCCAGATAATTTGGAAATCTATTCTGAAAATGCTGAAAATTTTATTTTTTTCAAGTATAATGCGTAGTGATGGTTGTTGTTGTTTCTGAAGGATGATGCAGACGAACCAAAGGTCGAAGAGTGTAGCAAAGTAACACACACAATAGCTGATGTCACACGCACAAGAGTTTCTAAATCTAATCTTGTGCATTGTCCAGCAGCTGTAATGTGGTTACAAACATACTTCTTCTGAGTTCTTGACAGCTCCACTGAATTCGGGAACTCAAATTCCCGAATTCAGCAATGTCACAAAATTCAAAATTTTATGACATTGCTGTAGTTGAGGAAATTCCTTCGGCGCTCTATCCTGGTTTTCCTCTTGTATTCGGTTGTGAAGATTTCTGTTGATGCCCGAGATATCCATGGGTCCTCTTCGACTGGCCATCACACCACACATATGCTTAGAACGAAATACAGTTTCGCAGAACAGATCTCGCCCTGCGCCACGAGTAAAGATGTAGCTGCAGGTCCATTGTTTAAGAAACCTCCGCCGGGGCTGCATGAGGACTTCAGCAAAAGGATAACAGAAAGCAAGTGCTTGCACCTACAGACTTCAGGTGCCTGCCACGAGTGAAGGTTTAGCTGCAGGTCCCTTGTTTATGTAGCCCCAGATGGACCTACAAGAGGGCTTCAGTAAGAGGATAACAGAGAGCACTTCCACCTCCAGACTTCAGGTGCTTCCCGGGCTTCCTTGTCGCCGCTCGCGCGCTTGTCGGACAGCTGGAAGCCGGACGATGTCTCCATCTCGACTGCGTACTTCTGGCCCAATACTGCACTCTGGAAAATGTAATTGAATATGAATGTTTGGTCTTATGCTCCAAAAACATGACGAAGCTTTACTCTTTAAGATTTTAGAATCCCGTATGGGATTCTAAATAGAGTCCCAAGATAGACGACGTTTGCTACGATGATTGCGGTGAACCCTGGATAGTATTCGCCGGTCCAGCAGTTTTAGCCTATGTCCTGTATAGAGCTGGTCTCCATCCAGTACGATCCTGGTCTTGACTCTGGAATATAAGACAAGGCAACCTTAAAGAGGCAATCGATATGGGACGGAAGCGCGTTCAGGAAGTGACGGAAAGTAAGGATACCTAAGAGGAATAAGCACTCCGTTACCTTGATGGACTAATGTTTGTACATAGAATGTTATAATTAGTATAGGCTGGCTGAATTTATTTCTTTAAGCAGGTTTCATTGAAAACCAGGGAATTTGTTTATTAACAATTTTCTTTATAGTTATTTCAATGTATCGAACGATATTTTTCGTTTGCACTGGTCAGTCGAAAATTATGGAACCTAATAAACATTTTTATTTCATTAACAACGTTTCGAATGTATCAATCTTTCATTATCAAGTTAATAGACGCATTAAGTGATGAAATTTGGATCGACATAAGTACAAAATCATGTAACTATG